AAAGCTTTTTGCACATAATATATTGCATAGCCTATATTATATTTGTTTTCATATCCTTCAATATCAACATTGTTTGTAGGATATCATTGGGCCGAATGTGAATATATATATATATATATATATATATATATATATATATATATATATATATATTTTAAATATAAAGATTTTCTTTATCTAAATAGAAAACGTAGAAAGTACCGAGATATATATCGTATATCGCCATTTGACCAAAAAATATCGAGATATGATTTTTTTGGCCATATCGCCCAGCCCTATTATAAAAGCTTTTTTGCACTCTGAAAATCAGAATCTGTTAGAAATAAGGGCGTACCGATGGCCTCATGTCACGATTCAATACATATCACGATACTGAACTCATGATATGATATTATTGCGATACTCCAAGATACAGTGTAAGGTTAAAGGTTTTTCACTGTTCATTAAAATCTTAAAATTGTTATTACATTGTGGGTGTAAAGTGGTGCTGAATTGAAACCCAAAACACAGGACAATAGAGACACCAGAAAAACAATATTCATGATTCTGAAGCGGAAAACACTGAATTATTGTCGACGAATATGCTTGCACTGATATATTTACAATAACGTAGGGCTTTTTACTGGTAGCATGCATCAGATATTTGGCATTATCCGGACACATAAATATCTCCCCATTGCATTATTATACATTATATTCAACATTACATATAGTAGATTAATGTAGTACTGACACTAAAACTCTGAAAACTTGATTTTTTTTATTTTTATTTTGGGTGAACTATACCCTACACAATATTGTCACTATCCACAATACATGCGTTTTTGTATTGCAATATTGTTACAGCCCTAGTTAGGAAAGCGTCATAAACCTGTTCAGTTCATATCGAAACCTTGGAGAAGGAAAATGTACTTTCTGATATCCAACATTGGTCAGACCTTTGGTTTGGTTGTTGGTCTCGCTATAGATGGGTTTGTTGACGACCTACCCCATCATAAAGACAATAGCTTGGCCTTTGTTTGGACTTCTTCTTGTCTCACTAGTTTGCATCCTTTCAATGGTATTTAAATGGGCTATTATGGGATGCCACCATCACCCACTCGTTTCCATGGAAACCCCAGCTGGTGAGCGGAGTGGGCCGGCGGAGGATTGTTTTAGCCCTCCCTCGGCTTCAACTTTAACTTCCTTGTGCTTTATTATCTCGTCTTGTCCTGAAGGCCTGATCGAGCTTATGTAACGGAGCAGCTGTAAAGCAAACCTTTAGACCCCATTGCTCAGCAACTGGCTGAGAGCGATTCAGTTAGACGTGGCGATGGATCGCGAGAAGGACTCGAGTCGAATGGACGCGGTTGTGTGTGAGGATTTGAGAAGGTAGGGGACGATTATAACGTGGTCTCTGGGATGTATAGTCATGATTGGGTGAGGGATACGTCATTGAACCCACTTGTTTTGGGGGATTGATTTGTTGTTGTAGCTGTTGGATTGAATCTGAGCTTTGTTTGGTTATGGGTATAGCCCTGTGTTGTTGCAACTTTTGAATCAAATTCATAAAGGAAGCAAGAAAATCGTTTTAATTTTTTAGTCATTTCAAAAGAATGCACTTTCATTCTCAGCACAAAGGGAAGCGTGATGAAAGTTTATGGCTGGGAACAGGCCTTGAACTTTAACACATTTCCTTGTTTGGCGTATTTATGAAGCTTCTCATGCCACTGTTTGGTGCTAGTTCAAACCAGATCTAGATATCCATCGAGAAAGGCGCGTAAGCATCTGAATGAATCAGCGGGGCACATTTGATGCTCATCGTCTTTGTTTTCAATCACTGCGTGTCTTGAGGCTCGCTGTTCATGAGATAATGTAATGGAGGTAATAGGTGTGTAAACAACATTAGGTGTGCAAATAGGATCTCTAGATCCTTTAGTATTGTTAAAATACCCATTAAACAGTCCATTTTCCAAATGTCAAACCTTAATGTTTGAACAGGGCGTTCGAATTATATAATGCTTGGCAAACAAATGGTTTAAAATGGTTTCATTTACAAAAGAGGAGTGTTTGTGCGTGTGTTTCCTGTAAACGCCCACACCGGGGCAGTAGTTTCCCTGAATGCCTCCATTTGGCCAGAATACACAACTGGACCTCAGGCTCAGACGTGCAAAACACGCCCCACAGATTGGCTTGACTGGAGTTACAGCTGGTGTTCTGGAAAGTGAACTGGAAGAGATGTGGTTGAGGGTTTAGCCATGTGGTTTAAGTAAAACACTGGGTTAAATCGGGTGTTTCAACCCATAGGCTGGGTATATATAAGACTGAACACATTTTAGCAAATTGGGTTGTTTATTTAACCCAGGAAAATGGGTTAACTTAACCCAGCAGTTGATCCATTTTTACTAGTGGGTTTTTTTTTTATGCATGGATTAACTTAAATACTTGACACAACCACTGGCTTGCATGATAATTCCTTCATTTTCAATCATATTTTACGGTATATGAACTCATAGCCTAAATATGCTGTGACTGGCTCAATAAGCTGTCCATAAACAATCGGAGAACTTTTTTTTCACCTTGTACGTATTAATTATCTGTATATTTGAGTACTTTAAAAAAAAAATGGAAGACATCAGTCAATTCTATCGTGAAAAGATTGACGAAGGATTGACGTGACTTGTTTAGGTGACTCGCCCCTGTTTGTTGCTTTTCTAAAATGAAACGAAATACAGAACAATAACGTATTTATAGATACAAAAATGTATACAAACCTGTATTTTACAAAAGACATGCAGCAATTTGACAAGGTCGCACAAAGCCTACTATAAATGACTGAACCCCTGGGTGGTTATATCTGATCCAGAAGCTGGCGACCCAAAAAATTACCAAAACATTGGATCTGGGTAAAAAAAAAATAAAAAAAAAAACGTGTGATCTGACTGTCACTGGGTGTTTTAAATAGTTTTGCCGTACTTGTTTTCATTTCTTAAATGCATTTGTCACGATGCGAATTTTGTGCAATCTGTCAAAAAAACGTGCTCATTTTACCCCAATAGAGTGAAGTTTAAGAAAATGTAAGTTTTATGGTTGTCTTTTGAACTTTGAATCCTTTTTAAGGCGGGGTATGTGGTTTTTCTTTTTTGACCGTTTTTTCTAAATCACATGTTCGAAGCACTGCAATGAAAATTAAGCAATACAATCATCTGTAGAACGGGCAGGACTCGAAAAACTCATCAGCCAATCATTTCCAAGACCACCTACAATCATTGGTCAGTAAGTGCGCCAATCAAACGGTCGTACCATCCCCCGCCTCGCGCGCATATTGCGTCCATGTTCCGAATGGAAAGTCTACAGAGAGAGAAAGTGCTATCTCGCGCATCTGAGTTTAGCAGATGCATGATCGCGCGTCCATGTTCTTCGAGTGGGTGGAGTCAGGGCCAGCGTTAGAAAATCTGCCGGCCGTTTTGCGAATCCCAAACCCTTCCTTTAAATCTGAAGTGTCGTAACTAGTAGGACAAAAGTTCGTTGTTTTTAATTACGTTCACTTCCTCGTAAAGATGTCCCGTTTGATCGCTTCTGTATGTCAGAACAAAAATCTCAATCTCGTAATTAAACGAAATGATATATGCCGCTAGATTTAAAAGACCGTAAGCAATGATACAAGTGCGTTACGTTGTTTCCTGGTGTTTCTTCATACGTTGATGCACCTTAGAAATTTCTTTAGCGATTACCGTCAACATTTTTCACCCGTGGCACTTTGTACCGTCAACTTTTTAGCCATGTATGTATTTGTGAGCGACATACGTGGGTTAGCTTTAATATCCGAAGGTTTCAAAACAAAAACGGGCAAACGAAAGTTGGCTAAGTTCGTAGCCCGTCTTAAAACGCTCGTGTGTCGTGACCTTTCCCCTCAGGAATGTTTCCGTTGTCTTTGAGAGTAATTAGTCGTCAATACGCCCAGTGTATCTGGAAGCTGTCGTGTGATGCATAGCTGGCGTGCCGAAGTGTTGTCATTACACATCACATGATGTCTTTTAGCCTATATATGTCAGCACGTCACACCTCTTTTCTGGAGTCATGAATCTGAATGCTGGAAAGACGAGGATTAGTTTGAATATGTGGTCTACAGGCACTGCGCTTTGCATGTAGACACCACATGTGTGTGGTTTTATTTCCTGTGGCTTTATAGAATGACATTCATTTGTTTAACCAGGTCATAAAGTCATTGAGATTAAAATCTCTTTTACAAGAGTGACTTGGTCAAGAAAGCGGCTATAATTTATTGTTATTGATCCTAATGGGCCAATTAGTTGAAACCGTCATGCTGCTTCACCTATAACACACTTAACACACACATCCTAATACTCACAACTACACAAATACATCAAATGAATAAAAAAGCGAGAGAAAAGAAAGAGAAAACATGGGGACAAAATAATAATAGACCTACAAATAACATAACTGATAACATAGACCAACATATAACATTACTAATAACATGGACATGTGTATATATATATATATATATATATATAGTTATAATTATATATATATATATATATATAACATTACTAATAACATGGACATATATATATATATATATATATATATATATATGTATATATATATGTCCATGTTATTGGTATTATTTATATATATATATATATATATATATATCATTAAACATTACTAATAACATGGACATATATATATATATATATATATATATATATGTCCATGTTATTAGTATTATATATATATATATATATATATATATATATATATGTAGTTATAATTGTATGTATATATATATATATATATATATATATATATATAATAACATTACTAATAACATGGATATATGTGTATATCTTCATGTTATTAGTAATGTTATTTATATATATTATATATATATATATATATATACATATATGTCCATGTTATTAGTATTATATTATAATATGTAGATTTTTTACACTATAGTAATTCAAAGCACTAAAATCTCAAAACAAAAGCAAGGAAATGAAACGGTTATAAAAGGAATTAAGAGTAAAAAGATGATTCTCATCTGGAAAATAGTTTTACTGTGAGATTTTCCAGATGAAAGAAAATACCGCTCTGTTTCTAAAATGACTTTCAGTCCGGTTTGCTTTGGCTGCTGCTTCTCTCGATCTGAAGTGTGTTTCTAGGCTTGTTTTCACATGCAGGTGTGCCGTTACATCAGCTCACACCATCTGACGTCATAAGCCCCGCCCACGCTCATTTGCATACAGGAGGTCAAGCGTCTCCGCTGGAGATCAGCTCAGTCGCTTCTCGTCTAGGTTTGCTTTATTGCTCCAGTGTTATGGCTTGAGGCCAGTCGTGTGTCCGTCTCACTCTGGAGGATGCGTAGATCTCTGAGTTTGCGATTATCTCGCAGAAATGGAGTTCATCTGTACAGGTATGGTTTGATCTGTGTGTTTACTTTGACTCTCGTAGAGAAACTCATAACCTGGAGCTGTGTGAGTGATGTTCCTGGTATTGAGCGTATTAAATAACCACGACGGCTTCTATTGGCCATCTGTGTGTGTGTGTTCAGTGTTTTATAAGTTCTCGTAAAGGCAGATCGGTGTGTAAGGTTTGAGCCGAGCGAAGGGAACGTCAGATGGATGGATGGTAATGAGGCTGACGCTGGTTTTCCCATGTTTCCACAGTTACGCGGTGGACGCTGGGACGATCCCCGGGAAGGTGAAGAAGGGGAGGACGAAAGCCAGACTGGGAAGCAGGAAAGCGTTCAGCTTGGAGGAAAACCCGCTGGAGATTCAGCAGCAGCCCAAGAGCCTGAGCCGGCTGGTCCTGCCCAGGTACAACACACACCGCTCCTGTGCTGGAGATATAACAAATGATATATTTTTAGATTGTGAATTATTGTATGTGTATTTATTTATTTATTTAAATGCATTTAGTTAATTTTTACCTACCATATCTAAAATGTGACTATAGCATAAATCTTAAAAATCTTTTTTTTTCTTCATTTTTTCTTTAAATGTAATGTTTTTTTGTTTGTTTTTTGTTTTAAGGGATTTTTTTTCAATGTCAAAAAAATGTGGCTGTTTTGATAATTTTCTTAAACAAATGTTATCAAAAAACAAAAGTATAAAATATATTAGTATTATGTAGAGGCAGACCGATATATCGGCCGATATTAGGCATTTTCCATGATATATCGGCATCGGCAGTTATAATGGCCGTTAAATGAATATTTAAAAAATAAAATAAAAACGGACGAAACACGCTTTAATCATCTCTGCTTGGCCTGTTATATTGAAAATGTATGTTTTTCAATTTGCAGTATGACGTTATCTATTGCTAATCATAGACTAGCTAACCATAAAGCAAGCTAATGCCACTATCATCAGTTGGAAGACCGCTAACGTTAACATTAATGAGCTTGGAAACCACAATGAACTTTTTCTGCCTAAATAAAGTAATGATTACTGTATTTATAGCTAGCATATCTCTAGTTACAGTCCCTGCATTGTAAAATGTAAGTTATACTTGCGAGGAGTGAACATTTAGACATTGAGAAAAAGTATCAAACGTATCTTGTGCAGAAAAATTAGCTTTTCATTTACACGTGTGTGAAATCCAATAATATTTAATAAAAAAAAAAAATATCGGAATATCAGATTTTAAAACCCAAAAATATTTGTATCGGTATCGGCCTTCAAAATCCTTTATCGGTCGGGCTCTAGTATTATGCATGTATATAATATTTACAAAAAATGCTTTATTTAAACTAAATTAAACTATTTTTAGAGAAATATTATGTACAAGCATATATACCAGTTATATATATGTATATAATATTTAAGTTTCTTTAAAAAGTAAGCATACATTCCTGATATACTTGTATATAATATTTACATTTATTAAAAAAAAAAAGCATTTATTCCTGCTATATATGTATATTAAATTTCTTTGAAAAAAAGGTTTATATAAAAATAAGCATTTATTCCTGCTATACATGTATATGATATTTAAATTTCTTTGAAAAAAAAAAGTTTTTATAAAATATAAGCATCAATTTCTGCTATATATGTATATAAAATTTACAATTCTTTGAAAAAAATAAGTTTCTATAAAATATAAGCATTATATTCCTGCTATATACAAATATAATAATTAAATTTCTTTGAAAAAAAAATCTATAAAAATTAAGCATATATTTCTCCTATACATGTATAGGAGATAAGTATATATATAATATAGTATATATATAATATATGTGTATATATATAATAAGTATATATATATATATATATATATATAATATATGTATATAATAAGTTTCTAAAAAATATAAGCGTATATTTCTACTATTTATGAATATAACTTTCTTTGAAAAAAAATAATACATTTCTATAAAATATAAGCATATATTCCTGCTATACATGAACATAATATCGAAATATTTTTGAAGAAAACAGTTTCTATGAAATAAGCATATGTTCCTGCTATATGTATATATTAAATTTCTTTGAAAAAAAAATAAGTTTCTATGAAATAAAAGACTTATAGTTCTACTATACATGTATATAATATTTAAATTTCTTTGAAAAAAATTAAAGGGCATATTGCAGGTTGGAGGACCCAACGAGTCAATGCATAGAAAAACAACGTAGGAACTAGATTTTCTTTAAAATATACGTATAAACACGCCACAGAAGCTTCTGCAGTCGTTTTTGTGAGAAAATTTTACTTCCGCGTCTGAAAATGGGCGTGGCGGGCGTGACGTAATGAGCGGGAGAGCCGTCGATTCACACAACAGGAAAACAATGAAGCGCAATGACATTTCGGACGCTGAGGAAATACTCGTATGACGGATCAAGCCATAAAGTTATGAGCCTGCTATGCTAAAGAGATCAGGGACAGGCCAGGATAATGTCAGACAGAATGGTCAGAGAAAAATTGAGCTGTGATGTGAGGAGAACCAGTGGAGAACAGGACAGGTGTCTTTTAGGTGAGAGACGTACTTATAGTATACACGTTCGCTAACGATATACACTGTGCTCACAATATTGTACAGATTATTATGATCCTATAACAGGCCAGCAGACATTAGTATGTTTAGGGTAGATTTATATACTATTAAATGTATAAAAACTTTACTTGAGTATATTTCTATACTAAAAGCATAGGCTATACTCGGGTAAATTTTTAATACATATTTTTCACCTTGGTTATAACATAAACAGAACATTAAAGATTTGAGTATTTAAACAACCAATTTTGTTTTTCAATTACAAGTTTTATTTAGGGCATGACATGACTAAGTTACCTATATAACACTATTTGATGCCATTGGTAGTATACGACGATCAATATTCTTGCTTCGGCATACCATGTTGAACTCCATCATATTGCCGGGATGCTAATCATTTGATCTGAAGTGAACGCTACACACGACCGTGTTTTCCGAGCCGAGAGGAGAAATCCCGTCTCTTCACCTGCTCAACCCGCACCAGGAACGAAAGATAGGCTATATAGCACAGTCACTTTTATTGTAATGGAAACTTGTGGACTCGATCTTGAAGTCCTGACAGGCTGGAGTTTTTGCAATCTCCACAAACACAATATTTACCATGACGATGATAAATTAAAATGCAAAAACTAACGAAAGCACACTGACTGACGAGCGCTCTCACTGAACACCAGCCTGCTCTCACTGAGCCGAGGCTGCGGCTCCCTGCTATGACATCAAATGACGCGACGTTGAAAAAAAGCCGTTTTTACTAGCAGTCCAAGAAACGCTCACTTTATCTTCTAAATTAGTGTCCTTATGTTGTTTTAAAACATTTTAAATCCTGCATTAACTTTTCATATGGTATTTTCATACAAGGTTATCTATAAATTTCGATTTTTTTTTTTTACCTGCAATATGCTCTTTAAGTTTATATAGAATATAAGCATATATCTCTGCTTTACATGTATATAATATTGAAATATCTTTGAAAAAATAAGTGTCTATAAAATATAAGCATACATCCGTGTTACGTGTGTGTATATAATGTAGTGTTCGTGCTGTGGTTTGGCAGGTCTCACACTCTTGACGTGGACAGGCCGCTGGAGAGAAGTGTAAGCCTGAACTCCAGAAGTGTAAGACAGCATTTCATGGCTCTTCTTCTCAACACTGGTGTGTTTTACATCAAACCGGTTCTAAACTCCCGTTTCCTATCGTTTTCCTCATCAGAGTTTCGTAAAGCACAACAAAACATTCCACAAACTCTTCCCGGAAATCCCCGAGAGCGAGGACTTGCTCCATGGTGAGGAACAGGAATGTGTATCTCATGTAACGATTGTCGTAATGTCAGATAAACACAGAAGCCATTATTTAACACATTTTACGTAACACATTTTTATTTATGGGCCTAAAAACAGCAGGAAAAACCCCCAAAAATGATTATTATTTACTAAAAACGTACATGTTTTTGTTAATAAAGTGATCTTACAGTCCAAACTCTCTCTCTGTAGCCTACATCTGTGCGCTGCAGAAAGAAGTGCCTTATCATGGGCGTCTGTACATCACCGACAGCAACATGTGCTTCTTCTCCTCTGTGCTGCTCAAGGACACCAAGGTAATAATCCAGAAATGCAATCCTCATTTATTTGTAGAGCACATCGTGACTTCAAAGCGCACCATAGAGTCCATATTACAGTTTAGGAAACTGAACACTTAAAAGTATTCATTTAAACAGTGCAGAAACAATGAGCTCGTTGACGTAACGAAGACTTTGACAAATGATTATGACATTTAGAAAAATGTAGCATTGGTGCATGTTAATAAACTCAGTCTAACAGTGTGTGTGTGTGTGTGTCAGGTGGTCATCCCGGTCTCCAGTGTGATTGTCCTGAAGAAGCAGAACACTGCGCTGCTCGTTCCCAACGCCATTTCTGTTCGCACCGCTGACGGAGAGAAGGTCAGTTTCTGTTCCGAACACACGCGGGGTTAAACCGGATCATGCACAAACACTGATATATTTTGTGAAACATACTGATTAATGCTAATTTAAAAAATGCATTAACATATACATTTATTTTTATGTAAATGTTCTGAATAATGCGAATTATAAAAAAAAGACTAACACAATCTTTATAAAAGCTTCACGAAAAGTCCCGAAACCACACATGAATTCTCTTTTAATGATTATTTTGGCGTGAGATATGAATCGGACAGTGTGTTTAACGTGCGCATGAAACCCTTGATCGTTGCAGTATCTGTTCGTGTCTCTGAGGAACAGAGAAGGCTGTTACAAACTCCTGCGCTCCGTCTGTCCTCAGCTGGAGGTGAGAGTTTATCATTATTATCAGTGTTATTATCATCGAGGAGGATAGGAGTGTTTGATGATGATGATGTCACGGGTCACATGTTTCCTGTGCTCTCCAGGACCGCAGTGCCAACAGTAGCCCTCTCTTCTCCTCCACCGAGAACAGCTTCGACCACACGCCCAAACTCGTGGTGAGAGAGCGCACCTTTATAATAACGTTACATAAAACAATAATTATTCAATATTTACTAAACACTTTGTTAAATATTCATACTTGTATTTCCAAAAATGAGAATAAATTACTTCCTAAAAACATTTAGTAGAACATGTATATTAATATTTCCCTAAAATAATAAAAAAAAATTAAATAATATTTTCTAAAATAATAAGTATTAAATATTTCCTAAAATGATATTCATAAAATATTTCCTAAAACACTTTGTAAAATATGTATACTAATATTTCCCTAAAATAATAAAAAATATTTCCTAAAAACACTTTGCAAAATATTTTCTAAAATAACAAGTATTAAATATTTCCTAAAATAATATTTCCTGAAACACTTTGTAAAATATTTATTAAAAATTCCTAAAAAACACTTTGCAAAATATTTTCTAAAATAATAAGTATTAAATATTTCCTAAAATGATATTCATAAAATATTTCCTTAAACACTTTGTAAAATATGTATACTAATATTTCCCTAAAATAATAAAAAAATATTTCCTAAAAACACTTTGCAAAATATTTTCTAAAATAACAAGTATTAAATATTTCCTAAAATAATATTTCCTGAAAACTTTGGAAAATATTTATAAAAATTCCTAAAAACACTTTGCAAAATATTTTCTAAAATAATAAGTAATAAATATTTCCTAAAATGATATTCATAAAATATTTCCTAAAAACACTTTGCAAAATATTTTCTAAAATAATAAGTATTAAATATTTCCTAAAATAATATTTCCTGAAACACTTTGTAAAATATTTATAAATATTTCCTAAAATAAATATTAAATATTTCCTAAAGCACTTTGTAAAATATGTATATTAATATTTCCTAAAATGATAATTGCATATTTCCTAAAAACACTTTGTAAAATATTTATACAAATATTCCCAAAATTAAGAATTAGTTACTTCCTAAAAGCACTTTGTAAAATATTTAGAAATATTTCGTAAAATATTTATACAAATATTTCCAAAATTAAGAATTAGTTACTTCCTAAAAGCACTTTGTAAAATATTTAGAAATATTTCCTAAAATAATAAGTATTACATATTTCCTAAATCACTTTGTAAAATATTTATTAATATTTCCTAAAATAATTACATATTTTCTTAATATTTATACAAATGTTTCCAAAATTAAGAATTAATTACTTCCTAAAAAAAACTTTGTAAAATATTTATACAAAAATTTCCTTAAAAAAATAAATCCTAAAAAATGTAAATATTTCCTAAAATAAGTATGAAATATTTCATAAAGCACTTTGTAAAATATTTATAAAAATATGTCCAAAAATGATTTCCTAAAAAAAAACATTTTGTAAAGTATTTATACTATTATTTCCTAAAATAATAATTGCATATTTCCTAAAACAATATTTATTCAATATTTCATAAAACCCTTTATTCATTGTGTATCAGCATGAGTATTGAGTGTTAACGCAGTGTGTGTGTGTGTGTGTGTTTCGGCAGCTGAACTCGAGTCAGTCGAGTCTGGAAGACTCTTTCGATGTGAACGGAGAACGTGTGTGTCCTCAACCAGAGCTTCTCGTCTCCAGACTCACACAAGGTTTGTTCAGACACACAAATATCTCCCTGTATCTCTCTCTCTATCTCTCTCTCTCCTCATCTCGTCTCTCTCTCTCTCTCTGGTGTGTTTCAGAAGGTCCTGCTGCTGGATCGAGCCCGACCGTGGGGATCTCAGAACTGGTTGAGGACGACGAGAACGAAGGTACGGCCTCGCGATGAGCTCGTGAGTTTATGACTTCATCATGTTGTGTTTGATTGGCTGACGGAGATTCTACTTCCTGTCCCCGCAGGAAGTTCGTGGGTTTGGACTGTGACGGAAAGAGCTCGATCGCTCCTGATCCAGAGAGAAGTCAGCAACCTCAACACACTCCTCCTCGTATACCTGATCCTGTGAGTCCGAACGCCAGAGCCACATTTACACACACACTTACGATATTTTACACAAATAAATCAGAAAAGATATTATTAAAAATTTAAATAAAATGTATAAATATTTTAAAAATTAAGTTTTTCTTTAAAAAAAATAATTTATTTTTAATAATTTATCATATTGTTATGCAAATATCTAGTAAATGTAGAAAATGTATTTATAATAGCTATAGAAATATTTACTAAAAATGATTCACACAAATATTTCCTACAAATAATTTGTAGAATATTTATACAAGCATTAAAAAAATTTTTAATATACAAGTGGTTACTAAATATTTACTAAGTATTTGATCTTATTTAAAAAAAATATTATTTATACAAATATTTCTTTACAATTATGTATTTAAAAATTTACTTAATATAGATTCATACAAAATTAAATAAAAATAACTTGGAAAATATAATTATTTACTAAATTATTTATGAAAATGTTTATAAAAGTATTTATATAATAATAGTAACTAAGTCAATATTTATAAAAGATTTATCAATTTATACATATGTTTCTTAAATAAAAATGTAAACGGTATTTCCAAAAATCTAATTTCTAAAGTAGTTATATAAATATTTAAAATCTGTACTAAAAATGTTGTACAAATTGTGATTACTTTTGCTGTTTTGGTGCATTTGTTTTAAAAAATGAATTTCCATTAAATCTGTTCAAACTGCATGGACAAATATACCTCAAATATTTGTTACTGTTTAATTACTTGCGTTAAACATATTTAATCTAATTGCCATCGGCATCATTCCAGTTCAAAATGCCTAATATTGTAGCCTCACCCGATATGACGCATCATCATAAGCAGCATGAATACGAGTGGGCGAGCGAGTCTGGTCTTGTGATGCGCAGGAATGTGGTTTCAGCCGGAGACGCCCTCAGGGTTCGTTAAGGGTCATTTAGTGTGTGAACAGTGACGTGTTTCTTCTCCATTTTCTAAAAACATTTCCCGAAATAATAATTAGAATATTTCCTTAAAACAATTAATATTTTTGGAAATATTTATATAAATATTTGACAAATTATTAAATATTTCTTAAAAAAACACTTTGCAAAATATTTTTACAAATATTTCCTAAAACAATAATTATTAAATATTTCCTAAAACACTTTGTAAAATATTTATATAAATATTTCCTAAAACAATAATTATTAAATATTTCCTAAAACACTTTGTAAAATATTTATATAAATATTTCCTAAAACAATAATTATTAAATATTTCCTAAAACACTTTGTAAAATATTTATATAAATATTTCCTAAAACAATAATTATTAAATATATCCTAAAACACTTTGTAAAATATTTATACAAATATTTCCTAAAATAATAATTAAAATATTTCCTTAAAACAATTTGTAAAATATTTATACAAATATTTTCTTAAAGAACATTTATACAAATATTTCCTAAAACAATTTGTAAAATATTTACACAACTGTTGTCTTAAAGAATATTTCCTAAAATAATAATAATAAAAATATTTCCTAAAACAATTTGTAAAATATTTATACGAATGTTGTCTTAAAGAATATTTCCTAAAATAATAATAAAAATATTTCCTAAAACAATTTGTCGTGTGTCCTTCAGGGTGTTTCTTCTCCTGCTGTCCTCCGGCTACATCGGCCTGCGTATCGTGGCCTTAGAGGAGCAGCTGACGTCTCTCGGAGCGCTTCCCGAATTCACTGTTCAAAGCGGGTAAATTCTCCGTTCACACACGCTTGAGGTGTTCCTGACTCTGGGGAACCAGACCAATCAGATCATCAGGTTTTATTTCTGCTTTCAGGTACAAAGAAACATGAAGAGTCTGATCTCAATCAGAACTGTGGAACGAACACCAAAAAAAAAAGCCGGCAGGGAATGCTGGGAAGGACCTTTATTTGCACCCAGAACCAAACTCTGCCTAGTAAAGAGCCAAACGGGACGCTGTTGGATTTAACGATACGCTGGCGTGTTTTCTTTAGCAGTTTCCATCAGCGACTCGCCCTAAACAGCCAAAGACAACCGGTTTGTCTACAAGGAGTGTCAAAAATAACTTCTAAACAAACATCTGGTTCTTCTGCGAGAAAGCATTTCATCTGGGATCATTTCATTTCAACTGTTTTACGAACCATCAAAAAAAATGTCGTCCGTTTTCCTCACGAAATCTTTGTGTTTTTGATCGTTCGCTCCCTTTATTCGTTCTGCGACGGCTTCATTCTTCCTCTAGACGTCCATTTTTCGACTTTCTCTCCGTACAAAGGGTTTGCGATATTAAACCGAATTTTGGTTTAACGATAAAAAAAGAAGAAAATCGAAACCCTGAGTATTACTCTATGTATAGTCTATGCACAGGAAAACAAAATGCTCACATCAGGTATTTAACACTTTTCTTTTGTTTGTTTCGTCTTTTTATACCTTACGCAAGTCTCTTCGTAATCCGAACGATAAAAAAAAAAAAATTTAAAAAAGAGGTTAATTTTATTGTATTGTGACGTTTGACGCATCTAAACCGGATTGCTTTCGGAAATAACCAAATTACGACTAAAAAAAACAAACAAGTGCTCGCATGTTTACGCAGACCCGAAAAGAACATTTCCGTTCAGGACTCGAATCACGATACTTGACGAAAACGGTCCAAAATATGCATGATTTGTGTGTGTGTGTGTGTTATAAATATGTTGCAATATGTTCAAGAGATTGCTGTTGGAGTGCACTTTATCGTGTGGAGACGCTCTCCCATCCTGAAGGGGGCGCTCTATACTCGTTCTGGGGTATTAGACGGTGCTAAGAACCTCTCACTCAGGGCTGGGACTAACTCGCAATGCATCGTGGGAGATCCTTCAGGCGCTTGGAAGGAACGCAAGAGTTTCCCATGTGGGTGATGTCAAGGCATGTCGCTCCTTCAAACATAAACTCTCCAAATGGAGAACTGATCCATGTAAACAAAAGGAAATGGATTTGCACAGCATTTCAACTCGTCGCCACCTCAACGACCACAATGCAAGAATCCCAACTTTCATAACTTGTTTATATTGCACTACTGTATTGTTTTTTTTTGTATGGATATGTTGGTAAACATCTTGTTTTTGGTCTATTTATTGCATTGTGTGTAATTCAAAGTAGTCTCTGTGAGACTGGCTTTGGCATTGTTTAAATAAATCAAGTGCTGAGGAAATCCGGTGTCACCGCTGTTTATTCACTGAGTTCAGCCAACTTGTTACGAGTCCAATGGGACGTTAATGATGTTGTAGGCTGGGAATTTTTTTTTACATTAGTTGTGTGAAATAATGCTGCTTTACATATATGGTGCAAAAGTTTATTTATTTCAGCAATTCAACTTAAAAGGTGAAACTAATATATTAGACTCATTACATCCAAAGTGAGATATTTCAAGCCTTTGTTTGTTTTAATTGTGATGATTATGGCTTATAAAAACCATAATATAAAAAATATTCTAATTTTAAATTTGGGGTTTTCATAAGCTGTAAGCCATAATCATCACAATTATAACAAATACATTTTTGAAATATCTCACTTTGCTTGTAACGAGTCTATATAATATAGTAGTTTGTCCTTTTAAGTTGAATTATAAGTGAACTTTTGCACAATATTCAAATTTTTCGAGTTTCACCTGTATGTCATGTACAACGTGGTAATGGTGACGGTAAAAGAATGCCTTGTTTATCTAAATCAGCATGTTGAAACGCTGCCAAAACAGTTTTTACCAAGACTGTACACGTTTTTACCACGACTGTACACGTACAGTCTGTTTCTATTCTGCGAATCAAGTTCGAAAACTGCTTGTGCTGCAAAAAGATGCGCAGATTAAAGCAAACATTAGTGGGGTTATAAGAAAGCAAGACTGGTGCTTTTTGTGTGTGTGTGATGCTGTGCAATAAAACCCACGCCACAGAATTCCTGAAGCCTGCTGTAACACTGCGGTGAACAAAAAGTGCGCGCGCCTATTACTGGTATTACGGTAACAGCGGACTTTCTCTGTTTGCCATTTCATTTCTTTTACTGACTGGAGAGTATTAATCAGTCAAATGAATCACATAGCCTATTGACAGTCCAACCTAACAATTTTTGATTGTCTCAATTTGTGTAAATCCACTTGGATTTCAGATATTTTTTTCATATATCTAGTACAATTATGTGGTTTTGTTTGATTAATACAGTGTATATCTAAATCTTAAATTCAAATCGTTCCTGCGCGTGGCTTCGCTGAGCCAGAGACAGTCATATAACACAACAATTCAGAGTTATCAACCACATAAGGTTTATTTATAAAGTTTATAAAGTTTCCAGATACTAGGAATACATTTATAGCTTGTAAAATACTGTTGTGGAAGTGCCAGTAGCCTTTCAATTATAAAACGATGACGTGTTATACACATTGTTCAGTAACTTTCATTAATGCATCCCACTTGTGAATTTACCTTCGAATTTTTTCCAAATTCCAACATTTGATAATCATAAATACATGTATAACAAGTTATATGGATATTATTAATATTACAAGCCTTCAATGAGTCTATAAGAAAGGTAATTATTTCTGAGGGAAAAATAAGGTTGAGGCCAACTTTCTTTTTTTCTGTTTGGTATTGTAACTAGACTTGGCTTTGACTTGACTTACTTGTGACTTAACGTGTTAGATCAACTACCATGAATCATGATCATTATAAAGGTTTCTTAAATGACTAAACATACCGTTTTAAAAGTATCGATTTGGCACCGTTATCAAGAAAACTCACAATTCCCGAGCCTATAGTCAAAGCGCGTTCTTTCTCAAGTATTCCTGAAATTACCGTAATCATAGTAATAGGTGCATAGGTATTGTGTTTTTGGCGGCTTGCTTGGCCGCAGTCTTGTCCGTTGTCTGACCAGAGAATTAGTGTAATTCTGCAGAAACTGTATTGTAGTTTTTTCGGAAGGACGGACGTGGCTCATATTTCTCTCTAAAATGGGGCTGGAAAACATTGGCATGTTCCTGCAGATTTAGTAGCGTAACGAGGACCTTAAACTTCAGACGAGCCCACAACAGCCCTGCTGTGCTGGAGATACTGGCTGCAGATTTCACCAGCAACGAACGGATTTCAAGTGATAAGGTAAGAGATTGTGTCTGATATTGGAGATTTAGGGGAGAGCCAGGACACTTTTCAGATAAACCTCGTTTTCTAAGATAGGCTTATAGATATATTGTGATCAACAACTCGCATATGTTTTCTCTTATATCATGTGTTATTCGTTAGGAATATAGAATGATTTAAGTCCAAATTGGCTTTGAACGGTAGCTAACTTGTGCTTTGTTTCACAATGGTGGGACGGATGAAACAGAACAGTTTAAACGTATATATTTTTATTATGTGTTTATTATGTGAGATGATATGCAATCAGCAACTAAATAAACCCTGGTGGATGCAAATTCAAGTTCAGTAGTCTGGAACGGAATGTGGCACTCTTCTGTTCACTGGATCTTTGAAGATACGGTTGCAAAACTCCGATGGATGGGGGCTAGATCGCGTAAAGATTTATAAACAAATAAAAGCGTTTTAAAAATCAGTTCTGAATTTAATAGCAAATGAAGGGTCCGTTGCAATACATAGGCTAGTATAGCCTAATATTAAAACTGTTCTCTAATGTTTTTTCAGTGCATTCAGAATCACATATTATAAAGCCATATAATAAACGTAATTTAGTTGTTTATTTAATTATTGTGCTTAAATATGGTTATTATTCCCTTTATTATAATCGACTAAATTTATATTTTAATCAGTAAAATGTTTCCTTACATGAAATACAAAATGTATTTCTTGCAGTGTTGTAGTACTCGAGACTCGGACTCGTCTCGGACTCGGTCTCGAGACCATATTTTAATGGTCTTGGTCTTGTCATGGACTCGTGTGCATTTGGACTCGGAATTGACTCGTACTCGAACATTTTTTTTTTTAGGACTCGGACTTATTCCCGAGTCCACTCGAGTTCAATTCAAAATATTTTTCATGATTATTAATGTATGTTAATAAAATATTTCTTTAAATTGATATTTCTTAAACTCGGTCTTGACTCGGACTCGACTCTCTCTGGTCTCGGTCTCGACTCGGACTCGAGTGAGGTGGTCTCGACTACAACACTGATTTCTTGATTAAAAATAAAACCGGATTAGTCAAGCAAATTGCTTGATGTTTGAGAGAAACCAAGGCATACAAAGGCCACTTTTACTTTCGGCACACGGACCTCAATCGAGTTTGATGTTTGGCCCTTCCTTCCTCTGATCTAAAGAAACTGTTCACATAACTTTTTATGCAACAGAAAGATTCCATAAGCTTTATTTTAAAGAGTGTGTGTTTGACTGTTTCTTATAAGGTTATGAAAATATTGTCATCATCTACCCGATCTGATGTCACTCTAAACTAGGGCTGGGTAAAAAAATGATAGATTTCTCAATTTAAATCGATTCTCATTTTGAAGTACCAATCGATTCTTAAATCTCAAGAATTTTAGTCTTCAGCTGAAGAATGGACAAAAACTTTGTAGCGCATCATCCATCCATTCAATCTCAATAAGCTTTGCGAGTTACTTCTGATATAAAACAAAGTTTCAGCTTTTAATTTCCGTCCATTTAATTTCGAAATACGCTTGAACCGATCGTCCTCTTTACTAGCCTACTATCACAGCGCCAAATAAACAGGAATGAATAGTATCTGAAGGAATTTTGAAAGATAACCAACCGTGGAAAGACGTCAATGAAACAGCTTAAAGGATTAGTTCACTTTTGACAAATTTTTTTGCTGATAATTTACTCACCCCCATGTCATCCAAGATGTCCATGTCTTTCTTTCCTCAGTCGAAAAGAAATTTAGGTTTTTGATGAAAACATTCCAGGATTTTTCTCCATATAATGGACTTCAGTGGGAACCGGATGGTTCAAGGGCCAAAAGACAGTTAATAACAGTTTCAGACGCAGCTTCAAATGTCTTTAAACGACACCAGACGATGAATAAGGGTCTTATCATGCGAAACGATCGCTTATTTCAAAACTTATTCCAAAAATGTAACTTTTCTAAGGACAAATGCTAGCCTTGCTCTATTCTGTGAGGCGCGTTTGTAACGTCACGTATTACATAATTACGTTCAAAAGGTCACGGGCGACATAGCCGAAAGTACAGAGTCAGTGTTTACAAGTTGAACGCATAGGTTAAACGTGCAAACTAGCTCAAACACCGTTTACAAAAAATGGAATTAAAAGGAAAAACAACGATGTCGGACGATTTTGATTCTGTACTTCCGGCTACGTCGCCCGTGACCTTTTGAATGTAATTACGTATTACGTGACGTTACAAACGCGCCTCACAGAATAGAGCAAGGCTAGCATTTGTCCTTAGAAAAGTTACATTTTTGGAATAAGTTTTGAAATAACGGATCGTTTCGCATGATAAGACCCTTATTCATCGTCTGGTGTCGTTTAAAGACATTTGAAGCTGCATCTGAAACTGTTATTAACACTATCTTTTGGCCCTTGAACCATCCGGTTCCCATTGAAGTCCATTATATGGAGAAAAATCCTGGAATGTTTTCATCAAAAACCTAAATTTCTTTTCGACTGAAGAAAGAAAGACATGGACATCTTGGATGACGTGGGGGCGAGTAAATTATCAGCAAAAGTTTTTTCAAAAGTGAACTAATCCTTTAAGTGTAAAATTAAAGGGTTAGTTCACCCAAAAAATGTAAACTCAGTCAGTAATTACTCTGCCTCATGTTGTTCAATCAAGACTTTTGTTCATCTTCGCAACGCAAATTGACCTTTCGCTGGCCCCTCCCCCCAAACGACCATTGTCTAATCACACATCATAACAACCGTTACTATGTGAGCAAGTTCGTCAAACATTGACTCCAAGCAAGATGGTGAAGCGGTGCGCCCACGGCGTTTGTAAATCGGATACTAGGTCCCCCTAGAGATTATCTGTAGGAGTTGCGTTCTTTCCGTTTCCAAAGCTGCAAACACAACGACGATTGATCAAATATTGTGGACGGCACCACTCCCAGTTAAATGTGTCGAACATGATTAACTCGCGTGCAGCGTGACACTGAAACACTGACATTAATCAAAGAAACATGGAGAAAGCAGATCAAGAGTAGCCTAGATATTTGCCCGAACCCCGCACGCAACATTTTTTGTTTGGGACTCAATCCATTGAGGAGCAATTATGATTGGTTCAGAAACCATCGGGCCAATCAAATTGCCAGGGGGGGTTTTATACGATGATGGACAGATGAGCGCTTGGGTTGAACTGGTTTCCCTCAAAGATGGCCGCCGCTGGAGAATTTAGATGTATAGATTCCGCTAACGCATCTGTTGTAAAAGAAATCGACCGCGCATTCATTTTAAAAGACGAACAGAGAACTGCAATTAAGGCATTTGTCGATCGGAAAGATGTGTTTGCCGTCCTTCCTACGGGATTCGCCAAAAGTTTAATTGATCAGCTGGCTCCGATGGTCGCTATAAGATGGGTCGTTGTGGTTTCTCCTTTGAGGACCAAGTAAAAGAAACAAAACACTCATTATTTTATTACTCCTTCCAGTGTGTGTGCTGTTGAGTTCTGTTGACAACTATGCGTAGCTCAACATACGTCACTAACTGCGTTGTTCTGATTGGTTGTAGGTCTATCCAAATGAGTGCAGAGGGTTTTTTTTTGTACAACCTAGTTGAATAAAGTCGTTATTTTCGCACAGAAACTATTCTCGTCGCTTGATAAACTTAAGGTTGAGCCGCTGTCGTCACTCGGACTATTTTAACGATGTCTTTACTAACTTTCTGGGCCGGCAAGTTTCAACTACAATAGAAGCCCAGATCTCAGATTTAACCACAAATATATCTTAACTTGTGTTGTGAAGATGAACGAAAGTCTGACGGGGAACAACATTAGAATTGTCATTTTTTTGGGTGAACTATTCCTTTAAGGTTCAGTTTACAGCATTAGTTAAGTCACATGGACTACATTCATGGTGCTTTCGAATCCGTTTCCCACAGGTTGAAGATGTCTAACTGCACCCTGAACATCACCGACACAGTTCTGCACCTGCAGACGGCCACTTCGATTCCCACCTTCATCCTCGGGGTCCTGGGAAACATATACATCCTGGTGATGTTCTGCCGGCGTCCCAGAGCGGACTGGACCTACATGAACATCTACATCACCAACATGGCCATCGCCGACTGCATTCTGCTGGTGTTCCTGCCCGTCAAGATTCACTACTACAACAGGCCATTGGAAGATGAGTTAAAGGGACTGTGCAATTGTGTTTTGTCGGTTTATTACATCAACATGTACGTGAGCATCTTCAACCTCACCGCGATAAGTGTGGTGCGATACGTGGCCATCAAGTATCCCATGAAGTCTAGGGTTATTTTATCCCGTAGGAACGCTCTGGTGGTTTGCGTGCTCATTTGGGTCACCATTTGCTCCATCAGCCCGGTTTACTTCGTGACGGACTCTGATAATGATAAAAAAATGTGCTTTCAGAGGGTCAAGTCAGGTTTGTCGTTGCATTTCGTCCTGCTGTTGATCATCGTTGGGTTCCTCTTGCCGTTCCTGATCATACTGTACTGCTCCGTTAGGATCATTTGCACACTGAGGAAACAGTTGGACATCGGAACCCGTTCTGAAAAGATCCAATGCATGTTTATCATCGCGGCCAACCTAATTGTGTTCGTCATATGCTTCCTCCCCGTTCACTTAGGGTACTTCGTTAAATACGTCGTGCAAAACGAGGAGGACTACAGCTGCTCCGATAAGAAGATCGCGCACAACTTCTTGCACTCCGCTCTCTCCATTTCCAGCATGAACTGCGGATTGGACTGCTTCAGCTATTTTTTTGCCACTAAAACCTCCTGGAATATGTGCAGCACAAACCAAAGTGAAAAAAAACGTGAATCTATTTATAACACAGTTGATAGCACGCCATCTACTTAAAGGAGTTCACTTTAACCTGTTAACGGTCACCCACCCTTTTTTGAATAGACATGAAAATGCACATTTCGATCTTAAATGGTTGTAATTCAAGAATGCTTTGGAATATAGACATATGATTGGTCTTGTTTTAAAGAAGACATTTGGCAGATTTTTGTAGAAGTGAAATAAATTAAGAAAGTGAAACAGAAAAAAAGTTATAGAAGTTTGAGTTTAAGGAAATGTACAATGTAAAAATATTAATTATTCATATTTTACATAAAATATATATTTTCAAAACCTGGGCTACTCTAAAATGGCAGACTGAACAAGGCAAAAAAATCTGAGCAAGTTGTGTTTCAAATTTTAGGTTGATATCTCAAAAAATGAGCTTTCAGTGAGATTTTGTTTGAGCGCAGTACCAAACTTTTCCACTAGGGCACAACCAGACTCCATTACTGCCCATATAAGGGCGCCTGCATATCCATTCGTGTTTTAAGTGATATGAACCATTATTTTCACAATTTTCATACAATTTCTGAAGTAGAGATCCTATTCAGAAGTAGCATGGGAAGTTTGGCAGATTTTGATATGAATTGAACCTCTAAGAAACACATACAAAGAACACGCATGTAAGTCATAGCTAGCTGCCACGTCACAAATGGTGAATTTATTATTTTTTTTCTTGATATTACAAACTTTTCAGACCTTTTTTTCCAAAATAATTGAATGGATTCTATCTTTTGAACTTTTGGCATGAAAACAAACTGAGGTATCTACCATTTTTTCATGATTTTTCATGTTTACTGCTATTTTAAAATAAAGGTCTGAACACGCCTTATGAGTTTGAAAATATTCTTGTTTTATATTGATAAAGTATGGCTCCTCTGTAATATATTTTGAAAATCAGTCACCAAATATGGAAACTAGAGATTGTAAGCTTTCAAATGATATATAGTTTGTCAATATTATTTAAGGTATTTACTAAGATATTATTGTTTTAAAAATATAGTGGCAAACGTCCCACCTGTGGGACAGTGACAGTTAAAAAGACTTTACTCACCCCCATGGCATCCAAGATGTCCATGTCTTTCTTTCTTCAGTCGAAAAGAAATTAAGGTTTTTGATGAAAACATTTCAGGATTTTTCTCCATATAATGGACTTCAATGGGAACCAAACGGTTCAAGATCCAAAAGACGGTTTCAGTGCAGCTTTAAATGAAGTTTAAAGTTTAAGTTTTATAAGCTCAAATGCTCGCCTTGCTCTGTTCTGTGATGCGAGTTCGTGACTCTCCTGTTCGAACTCATTCATCAAAATGAACGAATCGTTTTTCGTGTCATTTGGTTCATTCAATGAACAAAATGAACGAGTTGACTCTGGAAAAGATTTGTTCATTTTGGAAAAAAAAAACACGATTTTCTTTATGAAATTTTTCCTTTTTCAAGTGTTGATTATAAAAGAATGCATGAAGCTTGTGTAAAAGCAGAGGATCCGTTCCTTCTTTTGATATATTGCATGTTCAGATATTCATACAGCGAAATATTATGGGGTTTGTGAAACTTTTGTGAGAATTATCAAAAACGTTGGCGGGGAAAGAGTTAATTGTTCTGACTGGATTTTATTTCATTATAAAATCTTTTTGTTAAAGTTATGTATTGCAATATTAAACCTGGCTTTTACATTAATAAAACCTGTATATATTAATGCTAGACTGGCTAGTTCATCCTGACTGGTTTAAGCTGTACAATGAGTCTAAAGTGTTTATCTTTCTACTCTTGAACTGTGTTTTTCTAGTGGGATTTGTTTTTGGAGCACCTTATCAAACAGCTAATGTTACCATTTTCCACAGCTACCAGCTAAAGCTGTGTTAACCTCAATACACTATATTAGCGGCAAGAGCAGTATTTAACAAACCTATTTGTTTATTGGAAACTTAGTGGAACGTGTGTGCGTGTTAATAATCATCAATTTAAATGACGTGGTTCATTAGTATAACTAAATCAAGCATTTCTCGTCACTGTTTTATAACTTACTTAGCACAGCATACATCTACCCGATTAGCCTGCCAGCTTAGCGTATAGTTTAGTTTAGTTTTGTATTATATTAGGTTTGTAGGTAGGTTTTTTGTTTAATACATTTCCAAATTACTTATTGAAAAAATATGTTATTATAGCCAAGTATTATAATTATAAACAGGTTATAATTATTCAAGACATAACTTTTGATCAGGCATTAAAGGAGTAGTTAAAAAAACACTTTTGCTGATAATTTACTCGCCCCAATGTCAACCAAGAAGTCCATGTCTTTCTTTCCTCAGTCGAAAAGAAATTAAGGTTTTTGATGAAAACATTAAGTTTTAAAATCCTGGAATGTTTTCATCAAAAACCTTAATTTCTTTTCGACTGAGGAAAGAAAGACATGGACATCTTGGATGACATGGGGGTGAGGAAATTATCAGCAAAAGTCTTTTGAAAAGTGAACTACTCCTTTACTGCCTGGGTGCTAAAGAAGACCCAATTATGGGGGACTCGATTTTTCATGACACCTGCATTTCGAATCGGATATTATAATTTCGTCCGGCTCCGCAGTGCAAACGGACGAGCTATTTACAGTTTTTTTTTTTTTTGGTTGTTTTTGGCATTTATACTTAAGCTCGCCATTGTGTTATTGAGATGATTGGGCTGCAATGACTCGGAGTCATTGTTCTCTAAAGGAAGCTGCCATGATGACGTAGTTTGTTTTTACACTTCCAGGAAACGTTGAGATTACTTGTGTCAGGGCTCTCAAAAGTTATATCAGAAGTTTCCTCGGGCCCACGCAATTCTCTCAAAGGTTTTGCTAGCAGTCCTATATAGTTCATAATAACTGACCAGTACAAATCGAAATTTATTATAACAATTGATAAAACTGATAAAAGATTGACAAAATCATCCAAATAAAATTAATTGTAAACGGTTAGTTCCAGTCCTTGATTCTGATTGGTCAATAGCTGTGTTTTATTCACGATATAACCACTTCACTAAACAGTTCTATGAATCACTACACAACGTAAACATATGTTTGTTCTCATTGAAGCTTATAGAGTACTGTGAGAGATCGAGTAAGCCTGCATTTACAGTAGATATCATCTTCCATCAGATCACACTTAAATTAGCATAGATGTTACGAGTACATCAGGATTTATGGGAAGTGTTCCCGGTTCCGGTTGGCCTAACATTGAATTATTGAAGTTGATCATGTATTATGTGAATGCCAGGTCAGAGAGATGTGTTTTTAGTCTAGATTTGAACTGACAGAGTGTGTCCTGCTTCCCTGGATGGCCGGAGTTTTGAGATCGCGATAGAAGTGAAGGACTATAATGCGTTAAGAGCTCGCTCAAGTACTGGAGCTAAACCATTTAGTGCTTTATAAGCAATATTTTAAAATGTATACAATGTTTAATAGGCAGCCAATGCAGTGTTGACAGAACTGGGCTAATATCCTGGTTCTGGTAAGAACTCGAGTGGCTGCGTTTTGGACTCGCCTTCCGTTAATTTTGTGAATTGGTACGTTTCGTTAGGTTTTGAAGAAATATACAGCTGTAAATTGTCATCAGCATAACAAGTGAAAGCTAATTCCATGTTTCCTAATGATATCTCCTAATGGCGGCATGTACAGAGTGAACAGCAGTGGTCCTATTACTGAGCCTTGTGGTACGCCATACTCAACTTTTGATCGATAAGACATCTCTTCGTTTACTGCTACAAACTGATGATGGTGGTGAGTATGATTTAAACCATGCTAATGCAATTCCACGAATGCCAACAGAGTTTTCTAGTCTATTTAAAAGAATGTTGAGGTCAATTGTGTCAAATGCAGCACACTAACAGCGAGATACAACCATGATTTTGCTTCATGAAAGTTGCATTGATACATTTTTTTGGCTTTAATATTTGTATTAGTATATGTGTTAACCAGTTTATTAAAGCAATAAGGTACGAGAGGCTAGGGCTATATGGTGAATAAGTCACGGCTGACTAGTAACAACACCCTTCAGCCATGACTTATTCACGTTACAGGAGAGCCTATTAAAGATTAGAGCTATTAGACCCATCTCTTAACTTAGCATACATAGAACATGCTATCACATTTCTGTTGAAATCCATTAAAGGATTGTTAGGCTCCATAAATCAGGTCAACCAGACCCAGAAACTGGTCCATGTCCAGATCAGATGGAGGGCCTGAACCTTTAGATGACCATAGTGTAGCCCTGAAAGTCAGCAGACAGAGACCGTGACAACTAGACAAAGACCAGAACCAGTCATGATCTCTATGACCAGTTTCATGACAACCTAACGAGGGGCTAGCTGTAACACACTAAATCCAATTTTAATAGATCCAAGTTTAATAAATGCGAATTGCTACCAATGCAAACATTTCTCTCTTACTTTAATTGAGG